AAAATTCGAGGAGGCATATTAGCTTTGCCTGCATGATATCTTTACATAATCATACTTGAGCTTTTTGGTCAAATGCGCCCTGAGCTTTTTGGTGAGGAGCGCAGCTCATGCTTATTGCGGCGGAGACATACAAGCAACCTCTAATGCGCCCCCTCCTAACGCAGGTGCACAAGTCTAGAGTGCGCACCAATGAGGATGCTTCTTTGTCTGCGTTCATGGCACTTCCATGGCCGCAGTGGACTGTATCTTTGGGGCGGAAGTCTAATTTTCATCGCAGTGCCATGATTTCTCTTCTATTACTCCCTGAGGGAAAAATTTGAGAAATTCAGGAAAAAAATGTTCCCCTGATTTAGCATGAATCCATCCCAACTTTGATGGCTTGGTTCACTTCCAAAAAGAAACAGCGGGATAACCTGCTGTCAGGAAAGAAAAAAAACTGCCAAATTCCAAACAGGAACCGCTATACAGTCTACTCTCAGAAGAAAAAATTGCAAAATTTCCGCTGTCAATAGTTTTGGGGAAACGCTTTACTCTTTTATCTCGTATCTCTTTGCAATAGGATATCTTGGAGTGCAAAACGCTTCTCTCAGTTTACTATGATTTTTGTGATTCTTTTGATGATGATTTTTCGACCGGCGACGATGATTTTGCCGATGGTCCAGTGATTGCTTCTTTCCTAAATCGAACAGTTCGATAGTTATCAAAAAACGAAGTCTGATTCGTTCGTTTCATTTGATAGGGTAAGTCATGGCTATGAGAAAGACTGATGCTTACCACTTTCCCCCATTCCTGTTCACTGTCCAGAACAGCTCCTAGGAGTCTACTTCCCTTACATTATCTTCCCTTCACCACCGGATTGCCAGGAAAAACCTCACGAATCCCAAAAGGGAGGCGTCAATTACGCACATCTCATTATTATCTCCCAATATTTTCAGTTCATAGACCCCTTGCCACAAACCGCACGACCCACCCTCTCCCAGCGATGTAAGTCAAATAGGACATCGTCGTTCACAATGATAGTATGCGCTCCTTTGGGAAGTGAGGATGAATTGTTTTGAGTGGATTCCTGCCAACTTGGTTAAAGTAGAGAACCTGAAGAACCTGAAGGCTGATCAACGCAGGGTTCTCGCCGAGTGATCGTGGGGTACGCCGCATCGCATGGCCGATGTCAGACTCAGCCATACTCAACCTGCCTGCTGACGACTTATTCTCGTTGCTATATATCGGTTCCTTTATCTAGAACCTCTTGCTATTACAGGTGCAGGCAAGAGCTGCTGATGAGAATAGCACAATGGCAGGCCTGACCCAGCCCTGCGACGTGCAGACTGCTCCTTCAAGCCTCCAAGAAGTTCCTTGGAGCGCACTTACATAGAACACTATAAACACACAGCTACTTCTACCAAGTTGTGGAAACTGTTAACAGCGTGGTCGTGGTCGTGATCAGACCAATGAATTTCAGGGTAAAAATGGGAATATGTTAAAAAACCTCTTGCGTGCGATGCTTTAGCAAGATTTCTTGCAAGGAGATTCCTTCAGTTGAAAGCAAAGGGTCACTTACTTGGTGAGATTCAACGAAACATTGCTGGCAGCATTCTGTTTGGCGAGTTGACCCATTTCAACGTCGATGAACTGACGTGCTCGTTCCAGTTGAGCACGCTGCTCTGATGATGACCATCCCAGCTCTTCACCCATGATACGAACAACCTGAAATCAAAGATTGATATAAAGAGCTCTTTTTCAGTACTTGACTTTTCGCTAGTGTTATAGATGGGAGTTTCGTCGTAGCCTCGTCAATGGCGGCAAACTACTAGGATAAGTGATCGTCTGATCTGAGATGTTCTGAGAGCTACAGTAGCAACCAGAATTTGTGCGCATCTTTACGATATCGAGTGTAGCACTGCAAGTGGAACTCACTTCAGGAAGAACTTCATGAGCTGCGTATGTGTTCAAGAATGCGAGTCGTGTTCGCCTTGCAATCACATCCACAGCCGTGCAGGCATACTCTCGCACGGCGTATCGCACCTAAATAACTTGTTTTGTCATTAACCTTCGTAATAACACTAGTATTGCCCAATTTCCTCTCAACATGTTTGAGCGTTTCTGAGCGCGGAGTCAGACTTTTTCTGAGACTCTGAAAAGGAGGGGTGCGTAAGCGACGACAGCGACTGTGAGCGCTGACTCTGCTTTCAATGATACTATAACGCTTTGCATTTTCTTCCGCAAGAAATTCCGCTCAGGCCAAGTGAGCCTCAACTCTTGGAAGACAAGTGAACGTCTTCCAAGTTCCTCGCGAGGAAAATAAAAAAGGCGCAGTTTGGCTTGATGGGGTGGGGGCGGGGCACCAAGAAGGACTGCGCTGGTACTCAGCAAAGCTTTTCAGGCGACCTTTGCGGATCGGGGGGGGGGGGGAAGTTCCTGGGATCAAAATATCTCACTTGTGCCTGCTTCACAGGTGTCACCAAAATGGAAGCCTGCTGCTATAGGTGCAAAATGCCCACAGGTTCTCGTTACCACGAATATCGCCATAACCTTTCCGGTTCTAGATTATGGAATTCCTGATGGGAGGCACTGGTTTCCGATGATTGGCCATCTTTTTGCGGTCATCTTGCACTTCGTGCCCACCCTACAAGGGCACGATACGTGATGTTGTGGGCCAAAATGTTGTGCTACCTGAAAAGTGGTGCCATAGAAATGTACTGAATAACAGATGACAAAGGAGATTAATACCGATAAAAGATGTAAGCTGAAGTTCCTATCCGAAAGATTAATGGATATACGTTGGTCACTCGATCACTAGCTTAATCAATAAATGGCTAGGCAGTATAACCATAAAGTCCAAATGCCACCAAAACATACACTCTACTTCAAGACCAGATAATCCTGGCCACATGAATGAATGTCATCAAGAGGGTCGTAATCGTGACCACCTTCCAACATGAGACCAGCCGTAATGCACCCGTTCGTTGGCTTCAGATTATGTGCCTGCACAAAGACTCTATTTGTGCGGTATGAACAGTAAGACAATGAAAACCAGAGAGCGACAGCTGCCATTGGAGGCCTACATATGAGGTAAAAAGAGAAACTCATAAAAGGATGCACGCCCTGATAGGGTCGGGGTACTACTTGGCTCTTGCATGACCCTAAATCTAATTCAAACCAGCCGAGAGTTTCTCGTAGGGCACTTGAGGTGAATAGAAATCCTAGAAATTCCTATAGAGATAATGCTTTCCCGCGACTGCTCACACAAAACACCGGGAAATCTTTGTATAATATGAGCTCAAATAAATGATCTAAAAAGGATCAGCCTATACAGCGATCCCAGGAAACACATTTTCTTCTGGCTCCGCCTGTTAGGGGCTTCCCTAACTTTCCTTCTCATCAGGCCTCGTAGCTATCTATTTGTCTCAGTGGCTCGGCCTTAAACAGAGGTTATCAATCTCGCTTCATATATAAGGTAAGGGCGGAACCTCGGCGCTTTTGCCGTCCAATGATCAAGAAGAAGCCATCGCTGCGAAGGGCCGCGGGGGAACCATATTCGGATTGAGAGCTCCCTCAAAGGTAAACATTCATAGTTCGCTAGATGAAAGTACTCAAAAAAAACACAGTACTAAATCTTCGGAAATGAAAGGAGTTGCCGCTTACCTTGACACAGGCATCGATTGGTCTCTTTCAGCCATGTGGCTGTCTGTGGGTTTCCATTTTCATTCCCGCAATTGGTAACCAAACGGAATCCGACATCTGAAAAGAGGATCACTTTAGTAGCAAAACAGGAATAAACTGAACATCTCTTAGAGTAATGCAGCTTGAATACTCTAACAGCCTAGTATTTGACGGCGCCTATGGTTCACAGCGTCGTCGCGGTGCACGTAGAGATGACTAGCTCGCACTTAGAAGATACATTCCAGATGAGTGAGACCCGTAACAGTTGATTGTTCTTCATTGACTTGCTCCTCATCTTTACCACATTAAAAGAGGCACATTAGTGAGGCCAGCTTATGGTTATGAGTCTCCGCCCATTTGATCGTCACGGATGCCTCTTGATTCACGAGCCACTCAGGCTAGCTTTGCTATATCAAAAACGACTAGTGCGAAGGACTTTTGAAGGTTTCTTAGCGGAATGCCAACTAGCTCTCGTTAGTTGGGTATTAAGTTATCCAGTATGCTCGAAACTCACCTCTATGATATGATTTCTGGCTATACTCTTCGTGTCCTTCTTGTTCGGGTCACGCACAAGTGGTCGTAGTCCTGACCATGCACTCATCACGTCACCACGTCGAATAGATACACTTTTGGACAAATATCCGCGGATCTCCTGAACAGAAAAATGAATGTCGAAGGTATGCGAGAAGAGATGTATAGTTATCACTGTCACAGGAGCCACGCAGGATAGCAGTGAAAGCTCACTCAAAGGCGCAGGTCGAGCTGGTAGTGTAGCCGGGGATCGGGGGAGTAGATTGTGCGTCATTGGTGGGGGACTGTTGAACCTCCCCTCCCTCAGGGAATTGTGGTCCAACTCCTCCACCAGCCTCCCATCTATGACATCGGAACTGCCGCTCTGCCTCTCAGCCAACTCAGTCACGGCCCTCAAGCTCACACTACATAATCCCAATCAATAAATTCCTTGGTGGCATTTTAGCACAAAATTCTTAACTAACCTTCAGAATAAATTCAACGTCAGCATCTGTCGGGATGGGAGACAATGTGACCTCGGACGGTTTATCTGTCGTTCCAGCAATAGTCATACGTTCCCATGGCAGGAAGAAAATCACGCGGCCATCTGAGGTGTCCGGATCCAAAAGCCCGGTACTCGACGGACTGGAAAAAGTAAAACACTATAAAAATTACGGGGATTCAAGAAAGGGTTCCTGTTGCTGCTTTCTGAGCAGTGCTACGCACTCTTTCGAAATCGTAGGGAGTAGCAGGTGTGCGGCAGAACTAGGGAGGCGTTAGAACTACCGATTATAGGGACTGCAGCGTTTTCGCTCCTTATGGTTAGTGTTAAACTGTGAAAAAGGGATAATCTGAAGAGTGAAGACCAGACTACTTGTACAAGGAGGGGACACCTACGAATATATGAGCGGTAGAGTGTTGTAAGTCAATTGCCATGCTCTTTTCTGCTGGACAAGTTACAATATAATCTCCACAAGTATCCCGAAACGAAAATATCCCACTAAAAACGCAGCTGTCCCCACATTTAAATGGGGTGTATAGTCACGCTCTTCTCATCTCCATTATATCAAATGTGTCTGTTAGCCCCATATTTAGCACGAGAAGCAGTCCGCTGTAAGAGAAATGTTACCTGTAGTATCCTGGCAACACTATATGCACACCGGAACTAGGGGCACAAATCGGCTTCGTGTTCGGATCGGCCATTACGCGGATCGTGTCGGTGAACGGTCCGGTGGCGTTAACGACAGCTTTCGCTTTGATGTCCCATTCATTGTTGGACATCTGGAAGTGAAAATTTGTGTTAGCAACTTGCCTTTCTAAGGACAGAATCTAGCGCAGGTAAAAAGAGATGTAACATCCATGTCTTTTAACAGGGCGCCGCATACTTTTCGCCGGTTGGGCGTCTTCTCCAGTAAGCGCTCCACCTCTGACATGATTGGAGCACATCGAATTTGCAGTAATTAAAACAACGAAAAGAACATTACGTGGATTCAGATACAGGTGCATGGCACTCATACGAAGAGTGTAATAGTCTTCGTCAATACCCCCTTGAAACGCGCTAGGAGTTCCAGTCTCATTGAGGGTCACCGCAAGACGGAAGGACTCGGTTCGCTTTAGCAGTTGACCACCGTAAGCTGCTCCCACCCTCGTCTTTTTTACAGGATATGAGTAACGGTACATGGCAATGGATACGTACGGGCGAGGTCACCGAAACCCCCCGCCCACGTATGGGGATCCCACACAAGGGCAACCGGACAGTTGCCATGTGCTCGGGACACGGCGAGCAGAACTATTCAAGAACGGTAAGAAAAGAAATGGAGAAAATGGAGGGCTCACCTTCGCTCCGTGCCTTATGGCCGTCAGGACTATCGCTAAGTTCATTCGAGCATCGTTGTGCGTACCGTCGTAGTATATCAAAGCACCCTTGAGCGATTCGCTTTTCAACATAGGGAACCTTAACGATATACTTTTTAATCTCACCTTATTACAACAAAGCTATAGTTCTTATGGTCACTGCGTTGGGGGAAAGGGCTGGTAAGGACTTATGCGCTGCTCTTTTGGCCTTTGGGGATTATTTTGATGGTAAGACAAGCATGTTGGGATACAAAGGCCTATCCGTATAAGATGAAGCAGGCTTATTGTTTGCAGGGTGGCGCCCGCGTTGGGTTTTCCTCCTAAACCGTGTGCGCGTCATAGCGGTTGACGTAAAGATTTTTGCTAAATACGGATTCCATGCTGGCACCAGTTTCTACTTCGGATAATACACAATTTGAACATGACCTGCCACCTTTACCCTTTATCGATTTACCTCGAAAATTTTGCCAGTCAACGCAAAGGAGCACGCAACCGAGGGTAAGTTTTGCAACGACCCTGATGAAGGCGTAGAAAAAGGATAGAAAGGATAAAGTTCGCGTTGATCAATCCCTTTGTGGGATGCGGCACGCATTCTACTTCCATTCAAGAAATCGTAGTGGCTTATTGAATGCGATGTGGCCTATACAATGACTTGCGGTGGCCAGCCGATGTACAAGTCAGTGTTTTATCCTCCCAGACGAATCTGGTACCAATTCACCGTCCCCGGAGGGTAGAAGGCTTGGTTGGCCTGGGCGGGAGTCGACCCGGGATTCGAACCCGGGACCGCGCGAATGGTGAGCGCCCCACTTGTCACTACACCATCATCCGCCTCCCGGCAAACTTCTTCGCATGTCGAGAGCGAGATAATGGTCCCAAAAGTGAACTTTAGTCTGCGAGCCGAGTCACGGCTGCCTCTCTCCCGCAATTCCAAATTATGAACACCCGTTTAGACAACATGGCCAGGAGCGGTGGGAGGAAAATACAGCAGTAGCTTGATAGGCAGTAAAATCCTAGTCATGCTATCATTCGTTTCAAATGAAATGAGTTCCGTCAACAGGTGTCTCAGGAGGTCGGGTTTGGATATCATAGTTGCCATCGATATACCTTTCAGTCACATGAAGAAATCAGCTATATGGCGTGTTTCTGCAATCTCCACCTGTTCTCTGCCCGACCGGCTCGGACGGCGATACTGGACTAGTTGAGGGGTGGTCTACAAGATTACCTGTCGTAGCTGCGGGGATGAGTATAACGACAAAACCTCGGTCGATTTGGGCAAGGATGGAAGAGCACCTAGAGGGCAACAATAGGTCACCGAAGGACACTCAAGGCAGGGTCCCTAGCGCTGTCTTCCTCGCGTGGAAGGTGGTGCCCTAATGTAGCCCTCTAGGCTGTCGTTGCCATCCTTACCCAAAGTCGAGCCAACCTTGAGGGATGGCGCTGTTGCAAGGTCTCGGCGCGAAAATGGGAAACCTCCGCGCGAAAAAAAATAAATCCTGGAGATGTCTTGGATTCAATAGGAGGGAAGCATGTCTCACTACTACGTGGCACCTTGTACCCTGATCTAGGCCTGGCCATTCCGTTAGGGACGCCAGCCTGAAGAGTCGGTTTTTGTCTCACACCAGCTTTAATGGGAATCGACGAAACGGAGTGGGTTAACGGTCTTTGCCGCGGTCGCCGGTTCCAGGACGCTGATGGACGGCGTTTTTGCCGCGTTATAAGTAAGCCGTTAAGGTGTTCTACCGACTTTGCCACAGTTCAGCAAATAGACGTACAGCACTATTAATATGCCGGGATTTATACAACGAGTCCAAGCCGTTTTAATAGGCAGATTCCTTGTGTTTTTATACAACGATGAGGTGCCCGTGCCTCCCGACTGTCGCAGTCCACACCGTCATATGTGTAAGCCCAAAAGAAGTAGACGTAAATTGAGATCATAAGTGAAATGGCAGAAGGAAACCACCTCACCATTTCCATTGCTTGTCGAATGTTAACTGAATGAAAATAGTTTTTCAGTACTTATCGCTTCCCGAATACAAGATCATAACACTTAATACCAACCCAGTAGTAAGGTACTTGCCACAGTCTGGAAACGTTCAAACATAACTAGAAATTCTGACAAAAACCGTGGAGAACGTAAGAAACTTACTTATAAATAGGCAGCATAATAGGTAGTGGGCCACTGAGATGAGGTGCAATTTCCAATAAGTTTGCTCGTTCAAATAAGGCTTCCTGATGAACTTGGATCAACTTTGAAAGTGCTGTTAAAAGCACCGCACCCGTTGATCGTGTAGGCGGAGACAGTTAACCGTGCCACAGGCATGCCGTTCATTATGTCCTTCGTAGAGGCATACCAATGGAAAGGCTCCTCGGTGTCCCCGCCCATCCAGTTACGGTGCAAGTGCTTTTGAAGTGCGCTTACCTTGACCATTCGATATTGCTCATAGTCTGCTCTCATAATAGCTGCCTGAAGGTATCGTACACCTCCATGAATCAGTTTTGTACTCCTTGATGAGGTACCCGACGAGAAATCGTCCAGTTCTACCAGTGCAGTTTTCAGTCCTGCAATCCGTGGTAGGATTAGATCCTTGGCAATGCACAAGCAGCAGGCCAACTGCTATGACCAACCTCGTGTTTGAGAGTCCAAGGCGACTCCGGCGCCAGTGGCGCCACCGCCAATTACTAAAACGTCATATTCTTCTCCACTCTGGAAAGAGAAAGGTAAGTATTGTCTCGAATACAATATACGTGCAGTCTTTTTTCTCTGCGGACGGGGGTGTTTCAGGGGGCTGGGTGGGCCGCCAGCCTATTCTACACCGAATGTGGTCCCCTTGTCAGCTTTCACAACTGGTGGAGCACAGGCTGGCTGCGCCAAGCCTAGCCTACTAAGCGTTAACTCACCTTCAACGAATCGACAATCTCCTTTCTTGATGGCAAGGCATTTGACGGCCTTTTGTTCAGTTCGGCTAACTTATCTGCATGTGCTGTACGTAATGCAAAGTACTGCTTCTGCAAAAAATGGCAATCACTGTTGGCAAAAAAATTAAGTTAGTAAATGGGGATCGA